TCCAGTTGCTCAGTCTTTCAGAATTTTTAGCCGTTCAGCAAATGTTGGCGACGTCGTCGTCGTCGTCGTCGTCGTCTGTTCGGCGGCTCCAACTTTGTTATTATTACCGCTCGTGCACATGCCCCCAACATATCTGCGAAGCAAACAGGTTTGACCATTCACTTGAACCGCTTTGGGAGTCGCCACCGAGTCCGAGGTTCCGGAGGTGAAGGGCAGGGCAGGATGAGGCGACGCGACGCTACGAGACTCGGACTCAGGGGAAGGCGTCTTCGTCATCGACATTAAACGTAATCAATAGAGCGAACTTCTTTAATTGAGCATCGTCAACGTGCGAGAGACAAAAGCGAAGCGACAATCAAAGCTAATTGAATGCACAGTGCAAAAAAATACAGGAAAAAATATAAAAACAGAGTATTGATTGGCTTTTGTTAAAAAAAAGAAATGGATCTGGGGAAGGTAACTACAAAATCAAGAAAGTTTGGGAAGAAGATTGCAATTACAAGGCTAACAAAATAAGGGGTTTAGACTTACTTTAAGTTTGAAGTTACATAAATACATAATATTCTGAAGATCAGGGTTCGGATACTAAAGTTTAAGCTGGGAGTTTACTATTAAAAATAACTATATTACTTTAACCTTTATATTTGACAAAAAAAGAATCTGTTTTTACAGAAAAACAAAAAGTTATAGTCCCCTAAACCTTGCCATGAGAATAATTTTAAATGGAAATTCAAGTAGAATCAATTATCTAAATGTATCTATATTAACCCAAATTCGTTATAACCCAATATCCGTTTTGCATATAATTATTAGATACATAATAACCCCCAAAAGTTCTAATTATGAATTGCATAGTTATGGGCGCTATTGATTTTGGCAGTTGCTTAGACAAAATGGCAAGTTGATGGAGCTGCAAGTTGGCCAGACAATTTGCTACCAATTTTAGAACGAGAATGGATATCAAGTGGTTGTCATGGAAAAACGGAAACTCCGGAGGGGAAGTTCTTTCCACTGACGGCGTGGGAGTGCCAGATTTTATTATAATGCTTCCGTTGATTGATGGGATTGTCAATTATCAAGGTGTGTGCTAAGTTATATATACATATATATATTTTGTTAAGTAAATCAAAATAAGATTTTATGAGGCTTAAAAACTTATTTTAATTGTAAATAAATTACTAAAGGGAGTGTTTTTAGGTTTATTATAATGAATAAAAGCACTGAAAGCTATATAAAATGACTAATATTTGTACTATATTATTTTCAATTTAAACAACCCAATTTGTATGCAGCTGTACGACGAATATTCTAATCGCCATGAAATCATCAATAACAAATTAAACAAGACACTTGTTTGTGAATATAGAACATTGCCTCAAGCAGGGAACTATACAGATAGATAACGCTTTATAATTATACTGAGAAAACAAAGTCAATTTCCACGAACATCATCTCCTTTAGTCGAGCGGTTCGATGCCCACTATCAGCGCCCTGGCCTTTTTCCTTTAAATGCTACAGCTCGCGGGGGTTATCGCTGCTGCGGTTCCAGAGCTTCTTAGTCAGACAGCCTGGTGTGTGGCAGTGTTGGTGGTGGTGGTGGAACTAGTGGCTCTGGCTCAATAGTGACCGAATGCGTCAGCACTGAATAAATAAACGCAAACGAACGAACGCCTAGACCTTAGTCAACGGCCAGCTACAAGTTTTCAACATTAGAGGGGCACCAAAACAGAAGTGACCGCGGGGAGAGCGCTTAACTTGGCCATTATACTATTGTCGATTGCTCATTTGTTGACACGCAACGCTGGCTTTTGGCCTGGCCAGCCAGCCGGCGGCAGTCAACAAAATAAAACCAAAAAAAAAATATATATACATATAAATAAATAAAAAAAACTATGTGTTACTCACAACACTGGGAGAGGGTGAGGTTGGTGGAATAATCGCCAGTGCGGATTTCAGCTATTTCAGTTTATTTGCACAACCAAAACGAAGCAATAACAACAATGCAAAGGCCTCCTGGGGTCTGCCAATGATGAATCAAGTGGAATTTACATATATTCCAAATATTCCAGGTGCCCCAAAAAGAATCTGCCTTTGGAAATTAAAGATTTCTTGGAAATTAATCTAGATTAGAGTCTATAAATGATTTATTTCTTGGTTTATAATTCGTTTGCTCAAATAATAAAAATGGAATTGTCAGAATTTTGAAATTATTTCTAATTATTTATGATTATCTTTTCTTAGATCCATAAGCAACAGCTAATATTTAAAATAAATGCTACAGAATCTTGGAATTCTTTTGAAATTAAATTGTCAGACGACTCATTTATTGGGATTTCCCTCTAAGAAGTAAGTTTAAAGGTTCAAAAGAAACGTATTTCGTAATATAAAAATTTCAGATTATCTCAAAACTGTTTTTCAAATATTTTTTAGATTTCTAAGATTCTTGAGATTCCATTTAATTACCAAAATGTTTTAAAGTTTTTAAATGTACTAGATTATTATATTTCTTTATAATTTTTAAAAAATATTCATATTTTTCTATATATTTTCAGTATCAATAATTTACTGAAAATATTACCTTATTTTTCTAAACCTAATTTTTCAAAACCTTGACAAAAATACCCAGGACTTCCCCTGACCAATTTGCCACCTTGACTTTCTAAAGACCTTTCTGTATTCCGTCTTTCGTATTTGTTTTTCGAAATATTCATAGTCAGGGAGACCCAATTGTTTGGTAAACAAATCGAATAATTACGACTAATTTCCCGCTGAATTCAATTTCGCCCAGGGTATTTGCGATTCGTTGATTTCGCCCCCGTGGCTGAGTTTTGTGTACACAACACAAGTCCGAGAGAAGTCGAGAGTTGATGCTGCCGCTGGGCTGTTGCTTTTTGGTTTAACTTTTGCTCTTGGTTTTGTTTTTGCTTTTGCTTCTGCTGATTGGGAATCGCCAGTTTGGCGACTGTGCGCGCCCGCACAGCTATAGATACAGATACAGATACGGCGCGAGTGCGGCGGCAGATACTTTTATACACATTCTTTGCCGCGAAGCCAAGACGCCTGTCGACGTACTTGTAGCGTCTATGAAATCGCTTTATATTAAGCACCACAGCACCGAGAGCCAGTAAATAAAACGCAAAACGCGAGACGCCAACGAAAAGATGCCGTGGAATGCGAATCATCAGACGCAGACGCGTGTATCTCTAGCTGTTGATTTGTATCTGTATCTGTTGCTCTATACATCCGATTCTTTTTTTTTTGGCCGAAACTGCAGGGGATTCTTTTGGGCCCAGGGCCGCATATCTGCATACGCCAAGCAGCTGTTTATAGCCTCACATGTCAGCTAATTGAATCGCTTTTGGGTTCTTCAGCTCTCGCAGCAGACATCAGCGAGACAGCCTTAATCACTTGCGTCAATGGATTTGCTAGCCGCTTACGCTTACCTGGCCGAAATGGGTTCGAAACAGACGGAATGGCATCATTACGGCCAACAGCTAACGGCCAACGGATTTTCCCGGGTAAAACCCATAAAATCATCAATAGACCTAAAAGGGATCTTGCAGGCGAAGGATCAGCACTCCTCGGGGCCACTTGACTTGACGCACTTGAGCCTGGCGCTAGTCCCTAAATCCCTTAAATCCCTACGGACAGGTCAGACTTTTCGGCTGCCGGCAATTAAAAGTTGGCAGCAAATTTAAATTACAACTATCTAGGGAAATAGCAGGTAGAAGTGAGCACTTCTGGTGAAAATCCTAGCCGGGTTTTCTGTATTTTTTTTATCTCTGTAAGTGAAAAACAAAGGCTAAGGAGATGCTGTAAAAGATAACCCTGATCTGGTAATCTAATTTGATTTTAGCAAGGGAAATCTTGGCTAGAAAAGTTTTTAAGATATATTATAATGGTTATTACAGATTTTTAAGCTTAAATTCAATTTCTTTAAATATTAATCCAGGTATCTGGGTCAATTGTTCTCTGTTTCAAGTATCTTTCATCTGATTTTTTGACCCAAGCTTTAAGATATACCATCTGCTTTATCGGCCCGATATCGCTGTATTGTAGGTATCTACGTCACGTATGGGCTTATCGGAATGAAAGTGAAATGCGGTTGCCTTCGGCCAAGTATCTCTAGGTACGGCATAATCTTTTCCGATACGCTTGCACATACAAACAGAGTTACGCAGATATATATATTTTTTTGGAGTACATATATAAATAAGCGTATTTAAGTGGCAGTGGCTCTGTGTGCGAAGAACTCTGCCGTGAATCACGCCATTTGGCCTTATCAACTGAAGCTCTCATCGGTTCTATTCCAGAATATTTATGCCTATGTGCAGAGCACGCACTTTATCAACGCACGGATGTATCTGTATCTGTGTATAACTGTGTATCTGTGCGATTGCTTTGTGCTTGGCACCCATAACAACTGTATTAAACGCCATTCGACATGAGTGGAAGCCCATCTGCTTTCCCCCACACAAACCGTATCTATAAACATTTCTATTTCACTTTACTTTTTTTTGTTGCCTCTTTTATTTTCCGGGAAACCTTATTGATAGGCCCCTTGAAGGTCATTGCTATATCTCTACAGGTTTTGTTTTCTATCTTAGATTCGATAGAAAGGGGTAGTATTATTTATGCCCTAACAGATTGCCAGAGTTTGTCTGAGTCATACTATATATCAATATAAGTTTTTGGGATTTCCTGAGATGCAAATCTTTGAGATGAGGGAATTTTAGTAGAAGATTTTTATACGTTCTATAATATAAAGGTGAATCAGTAAGTAATATTTATAATCTTTACAAAAAAGTCCCACACAACTTATTATATTTTTTAGCCTTTTAGGGCTATAAAAAGATTTAAGAACTCTTTAAAAAGTTCCTAAAAGTAGGCAATCAATATGTACATTTTTACAGCATACTTTTAGGTGCTTTTATAAAATTTTTCAACTCGCTTTAATATTTCTTAATATAAATTATTTAGTTAGATATATTTCTCCTTACCTTTCAATTTTTCACGTGCCGTTTCCAAAGCACTTTTCCTTGAATTCACAGTGGATTCTAAAATAAAAATAAAATGGAAAACGTCTTAGAAAAAAAATCACAAAAAAAAAGCATATAAAGTTTACAATACTATGTTAAATATTCAAGTGCATTCTCAATGTTATATGTTGAGACAAAAAGCTCCCACACAAAAACTGCCACTGGCATTTCCACTTGGTGACGTCAAATGCGAAGGCCAGGAAAATACCGAGGCGCACAAGAGAAAATCGAATCGTATCGGATATAGAGGAAAGTGCACAGACACTCCCACACACAAACACACTCAAACACACTTCATAGGCAATAAAGTATTCAAATGGCGTTTTTAGGAGGGGAAATACTCGGGAAGAGGCAGAGCCAACTGTTGCCAATTTCCATGGAGGGAGTCCCATCATCAAACCAGGCTGAAAATTCATTCTGTTTACAAGCCAATTTTCAGTCCTGCCCTGCTCTTTGCTAATTTTAAAATAGATACATTTTTGCTTGTGTGTGTGTGTGTGTGTGTGGGGGGGAGAATCTCGTACCAATATAATTTGAAATATTTTCGTTGGATTTTTGCGCAAAGTGAACGTGAAAAACGCATTGACGAGTGGCCAAAAATAGCTCTGGGAATATGTTCTTTGCCAAATTGTGGCGAAATTCCCAATGAAGGCACTAAAAATACCGCCTATCGAGAAATCTTTCAAATTAATTTTCTAAGAGCAGCTGTCCCCCAGACACTTGAAATGACGCACTTTTTATCGATTTCGATAAGTGTTAAGAAAGCGAAAAGCGGAATGCCCCATTTAAAGGGGAATTATTTTAATGGGTTTAAAAAAGTGAGTGAAGAACATGAATTCATAATAAATTCTTAAGGAGTATAATAATTTCAGTCCGAAGCCCAAAAATCAGTGAAGGACTCATTTCCGAGTATATAAATCATATATATTCTTGATCAGCATTAAAAACAGAATCGATCTACACATGTTTGCAAGAAAATTAAAAATTTTAATTTTTTTTTTAAATTTTATGTTTAATTTAATGTTTAAAGGAGGTAAAGAAAAATCGAAAAATTTTAAATTGGTTAAATTTGTAATCTTTATATGCAGATTTATTAGCCATAAAAAAACTAACTCAAAAAAGCTTTCCAAATTGAATTTAATGCATTTTTGGCTTAGTTATTGAATTTTTAAGCCCAAAAATGATCATATAAAATTATGAATAAATATTTAAAAATTAATACACATTAAGGAGTATAATAATTTCAGTCCGAAGCCCAAAAATCAGTGAAGGACTCATTTCCGACCCTATAAATCATATATATTCTTGATCAGCATTAAAAACAGAATCGATCTAGACATGTTTGCAAGAAAATTAAAAATTAAAATTTTTTTTTTAATTTTATGTTTAATTTTATGTTTAAAGGAGGTAAAGAAAAATCGAAAAATTTTAAATTGGTTAAATTTGTAATTTTTATATGCAGATTTATTAACCATAAAAAAACTAACTCAGAAAAGCTTTCCAAATTGAATTTAATGCATTTTTGGCTTAGTTATTGAATTTTTAAGCCCAAAAATGATCATATAAAATTATGAATAAATATTTAAAAATTAATACACCTAAGGAGTATAATAATTTCAGTCCGAAGCCCAAAAATCAGTGAAGGACTCATTTCCGACCCTATAAATCATATATATTCTTGATCAGCATTAAAAACAGAATCGATCTAGACATGTTTGCAAGAAAATTAAAAATTTTATTTTTTTTTTAAATTTTATGTTTAATTTAATGTTTAAAGGAGGTAAGGAAAAATCGAAAAATTTTACATTGGTTAAATTTGTAATCTTTATATGCAGATTTATTAACCATAAAAAAACTAACTCAAAAAAGCTTTCCAAATTAAATTTAATGCATTTTTGGCTTAGTTATTGAATTTTTAAGCCCAAAAATGATCATATAAAATTATGAATAAATATTTAAAATGTATTACACCTTAAGAGAAAGAAAGGAGACTATGAAATTATCAAGAATTGAAAGAATATAAAATAAATAATAATCTGATGAATTTTAAAACCTAAAATTTAACCCGTTTTAAGCTAATCTGGGAAGGGAATTATTTATAGAAAATTATATATACTTTCAATCATAATAAACTAATTAACATTAATTTTGTCTCCCTAAAAATCGCTTAAACTGGGGAATACCATTTTGTACCATCAAAAAGACCATTTATAATACACACAACTCTTAAATGTGATTGTGGAATAACTCAATGGGGCAAGATGATGACTGCTTATCAGCTGGACGGACTGGTTGTGGTCATTTTTATGGTATTTATGTTGTAAAGCACTCGAATTAAATCGCCTCGAGTGGCTGCACTTTGTACGCCTCAGCGATAAGCCAAAGCCAAAGAACCCTTCTTCCACTTGTAGAGCGCCCCGTAAAATATGCAAGGCAAGTCGGCCAAAAAACATACATATACAATATATAAAAGTGCCAAAGAGAAAGAGAGAGGAAAAAAAAACCTACATGCAAATTAAAGCGGACACCAGGCAACCAGCAATGCAAGGCAGGCAGGCAGGCAGCCAGCTGGCCAAGAAACCTGGCTAAAAGACTTTGTTGGCCCAGGTAGGCTTGTTCCCGCAAAAGTCGAGAACGCGGCCCCGATTGCTCACGCATCTCCATCTCCAATCGCATCTTCCGCTCCAGGTTCCCAGCACACAGCTTACACCTCCTCTGATCTCCTCCAGACCCAGCTTTTTTACCACCTGCCTCACTTGTTTATGGCCGCGACTTGTTGGCGACCAACTTTGGCTTTGGCTCTGGCACTGGCTCTTCGACTTTGGCTTCTCCTTTTTGCCAAAGCGGAAACAAGCGCATCAAAGTCGCAGCAATAAGTGCACTTGCCAAAAAATAATATAAAATTAAACAGAAAATTATTAAGGTTTTATACAATTTAGAAGGTTTGAATATTAAGAAATAAAGCTTAAAGATTGTAGGATTATGATCGAAATATTTCCGATTTGATCAACATTGATCGATAAAAAAAAATCATCATATAATAATATTAACAATATCTTAGTAGTTTCTTATAGAATGAACTTAATTTTAAGAACCCTTGAACACTTTTGTTAACTGCCGAATCTAATTGTTAATTATTATTTTGTAAATTTATTGTCATACAAAGTTCCACAAAAAAATCAGCGACTGTATTTTCTTTAAATGAAAGTTTCGCTTCCTGGAAATTGAATGGGTATATCACGTTTTTTTTTTTCTGCGTGCATGACAGATTGAAAATGGCAATGTCGTCGTCGTCGTCATCGTTTTTGAGCCTCTTTTTCTTTTGGCTCTTGGGCCAGGTCTCTGCTTTTTTTTTCGTTGTTTTTGTGTTTTTTGCTCGATAAAACTGGTTACGAGGTTGCTGCAACCAGTTTGTTCACTGAATACGTGTGCTGTGCGTTTTCTTTTTTTTCTGTTTTTCTGGGGGAAGCCTCTCATCGTCGCTGCTGTTGTTGTTGTTGTTGTCTTACTAATTGCTGGCTCGAATGTTTATAGAACAATTAACATTTGCGGCTCATTACGCATACGTTGGGGCGCATGAGCTCAGCCAGCTGAGCTGTGAGCTGAGAGGCGCTGCCATGCGATGCGATCATAGCCAGTGGGGCGTATGAGTAATGTCCCTTGAGGGGCTAGGAAATCCGTATGAAAACTGGCAATGAAATGATTCAGCCAGCAATTTGCCGTTTATATTTTTAGAGATGTATTCGAGATGATTTTGGGGGCGGTAAACAAACAACCAGATTGATTCCAGATGAAGTTTTAGGTTTAGTGTAAACTTTAGTCAACTAAGAGCAAGATATACATATCTACAGATTTTTGGGTTTATTATTGAGAGGAATTTTTCTTAGTATTTTGTATATATTTTAAAGATTTTAAATGTCAAAGTAATACAAGTGCAAAGCATTTTTTAAGCTTTTTGAATTATTAAAGACAATAAAATACACTTTTAAAACAAGAAGAGTTGAAAGGTCTTATGTACCTTTTATATTTTATTTTATATTAAATTCTTCTTTAAATTCTTGTAATCTATACTTCTACTTCCCATCTTTTTTATTACCGGCAAAATATTTCCCTACTTTATAAGCCTGTGCAATGTTATAATGTTATCTTAGTGACTTAATTTTGATGACAAAAATTCTATATAAATTTGCAGATAACATGGCACAAACTGATAATATTTTCTGGCCCATTTTTGCCATGACTCTCTGGTTTATTTATGGCTTAAAACCAGAGAAAAAGGTGACATGTATCAAAGCGACAGAGGAAATACCTAGGGAGATGACTCTTAGAAGTAGATAAAAAACATGTAGAGAGGTGAGACCCCGTCAAACGTCATCAAAATTCAATTTCCAGCAACGCAATAAAGCAAATTGAACCAAACAAAAAAAATACAAAAATAAAATAAAACCACCCGCTATACGTTTTGGGTTTCGTTTTCAATTTCATTCGCAAACAAAGTCCATGACGTATACGCCTGTTGATTGCGTAATATCTGTGGCTCCTGCTGCTGCATTTTAATTTGATTTATTTCGCTCAAGTTTTTGGGCAATTTGCTTCACTTGCTCTAAATATAGCAACAACCCAGGAAAAAATAAAACAAAATACAAAGGAAAACAATTTGCCATTCGCTTTGTTCTTCCAAGCTCTGGCAGCCATAGCGAAAAATACCACAATAAAATAGAGAAATAAATACAAAATAAATGAGGAATAAAAATGCATTTTGCGCATTTTTGTTTGTTATTCTTTATTATTTTCTTTTTTTTTTTTTTGCAGCTGCTGGCACATTTTATTCAAGACACAAAAAATACAGAAAAGAATATGGTTTTATGGATATGAACAGGCGACCAGACCACAGCAACTCGGCTCGGGCAGCTGTTCAACGTTGGCTTTAGGATTTCAAACGGGGGGAGACTGGCTGTGTCTGCGGATATCTAGAGTGCGACCCACATAGAAATATTTGCCTAACTATGCCAAGAATT